TTCCTTTGTCCTCTCCCGCTCCCCTCCTCGAACTGGTGCCCCTGCAGGATATGATTCAAGCGGGAGTGACTGAGGATGTTCCCAGGATTGCGACTAACATGGCCCCTCCCAGACCCATAACTCCGTCTACCGTTCACATTTATACTGATGGGTCCCACTACGGGAAAGGAATGCCCCGCGCGGCATGGGCCTTCATGGTCTTAGCGGAAGGTGCGGAAGGTGTCTCTCTGTGGGGATGTTGGAGGCGTAAGCTCGAGGACTCTTGCTCCATGGGACTGGACATTGAAAACTCGAATAGCACGACTTTGGAGCTCCTTGGCCTTGTTTGGGCTGCGTTGTGGGTCATCACGTGTCCTTTTGAGGTGGAGTTCCATGTCGTCAGTGATTCTCTCAGTGCGACAGGTGCGGCCATTGGGCAGAGCTGCACGCGATCTGATAGAGATCTTGCGAGGCTCCTTGCGCAGATTTGGGCCATTGCTTGCATGCATAAACGGGTGAGCATATCGCACGAGAAAAGCCACAATGGACATCATTGGAACATGCTTGCTGACAATATTGCCAAAGCTACGGCTTGTGATAGCATTCCCCCCTCGAATGTTCCTTTTCCCCTCTCTTGGACGCAAGCGATGTTTTACGCATGCAGTCGCGAGTGGGAGTGGATTGAGGCTGTGCAAAGAGGAGATAAGGAGGATGGAGGAGCTTACCCTAAGGTCACCTTGGGTAGCCAAGGAAGCTTTTCAGGTGCCCTTCGCTCCTCTCAAGTGGTTCCCACCCCTCTGGACGCTCCTGAAAGGAAGCGCCGCAGGGGCCCCATAATTAGATTGCGAACGGCAACTTTCAATGCGCAGTCTCTCAGAGCCGACGGCAGAAGAGGCACCAAGAGGAAGCAGAGACAGGCCCGCTTGCTCCTCTTTCAGGAACAGATGTATAAGGATGGGGTCCATTTTATCGGGGTCCAGGAAGGCCGAAACGCCCAAGGTACCCGCCGTCAAGGAAACTTCATGGTTTTCTCGGCCGGCCACGAAAAGTATAATCTGGGGGTCGAGCTTTGGGTGAACATATGCACCCCGTATAGCGAGAAAGGTGACAAGGCGTTGTGTTTCAAAAAACAACACATCCAAATCCTTCATATGACCCCACGCATCATGATTGTGCAAATTGTGGCTCCCGCTTTTCGGGCCACCGCTGCTGTCGCCCACGCTCCGCACACGGGAGCCT